TCCTACTAAATCCCAAAAGTAAAAGCTACATGAATGGTTACTTAGGTCAACTACAAATTTGTCCATTGTAAAGCCGTGAGTGACTTCACATTTTGCAGCCCCTACCCAAACAGGAATCCAATTTCCACTCTTCTCAACCTCCCAATCTAGCCTTTTTCTTGGTTTAGGCATAACATCTCCGGGATATGTTTTTGTTTTTTCTCTAAGTGTTGCAAACCTACTCATAATGTAAGTTCTAATCCATTCCATCATAGTTATGATAGGTTTGTCTCTTGCTAGTAAGATTGTACTATTAAATGACTCTGACAAATTGTTTATCAAAATATCACATTTAGGATAAGTATTGAATGCATGTTTACACCAACATTTAGTTGGAATAGCTAGCAACCAATTGTAAGCATCAATGTTAACATTCTTTAACTTACCCATTTTTTTGTCCTAGTCCTGTTGAAATGTGGCCTTGGCTGCTCCCATCATAAGATCTCTAATCAGCACTCCTCCGCCAAATTTCTTCTTGTAATTGTTATACAAGTGCCTTAAGCACAACTTATGTTCCAATCCATCCAAAATGTCATAAAAAACTGTCATTAGTCCCTGCAAAACCCAAAATGTCTTGGTCAGTATTAAATAATGTGGTGGAACGGTCTTAAGTATTGAAGGGCGAGTGGTGGATATGAAAGGAAGAATAGAAAACAGTTAGGACTCAACAGTCCTAAGTATTGAAGGTGGAGTGGTGGATATGAAAGGAAGAATAGAAAACAGTTAGGACTCAACAGTCCTAAGTATTGAAGGTCGAGTGGTGGATATGAAAGGAAGAATAGAAAACACTTAGGACCGAACGATTTAAGTATTGAAGGGCGAGTGGTGGATATGAAAGGAAGAATAGAAAACAGTTAGGACCGAACAGTCTTAAGTATTGAAGGGAGAGTGGTGGATATGAAAGGAAGAATAGAAAACAGTTAGGAACGAACGGTCTTAAGTATTGAAGGGCGAGTGGTGGATATGAAAGGAAGAATAGAAAACAGTTAGGACAAAACGATTTAGTTATTGAAGGGCGAGTGGTGGATATGAAAGGAAGAATAGAAAACAGTTAGGACTCAACAGTCCTAAGTATTGAAGGTTGAGTGGTGGATATGAAAGGAAGAATAGAAAACACTTAGGACCGAACGGTCTTAAGTATTGAAGGTTGAGTGGTGGATATGAAAGGAAGAATAGAAAACACTTAGGACCGAACGGTCTTAAGTATATAAGGCCGAGTGGTGGATATGAAAGAAAGAATACAAAACAGTTAGGACCAAACAATCTTAAGTATTCTAACATACGGCTACCAAATTAAAACAGGAAAACATGAAAATGAAAATACCTTTTGTTGATCAGAAATAAAAACCCAACATTGACAATCAGTGCCACCAATGTCATCCAGAAGTAGTGTCAAAAACCATCTCCAGCTTTCTTTACGTTCATTTTAAACCACAGCAAAAGCTAGTGGGAAATATTGGTCATTAGGGTCTCTGGCCACTGCCACCAACAACTGACCAACAAATGTCATTGGGGTCATTGGGGTCTTTGCAACTTCCTAAGAAGCCTTGCTTACAGCCATCTAAATACATATAAAATGACCCAAACCTTGGTGGCAAACTTGGTTGGGGTTGATTGACTTTAATTTTAAAGGTCCCAGACTTCATTCTTAGCAATTCACCCACATAATCATATAGACGACTATATTGTCGTTCTCCATCACCAACCAAAGAATCCAAAGCAATTTGCTTGGCCTTTCCAGCTTTCCAAGCACTTATTCCAATACTGAACTACTTCTTAATGTCATCAATGATTTGGTTGACTGTCATGTTACCCATATTTACAAACCTGTCTACTAATACTTGTGCAATCCAGTTTACATTTTCACTTTTGTTTCCAAAATCCCGTCCACATCTGTGTTGTCCAACCAGGGTTTTGACCCTAAATGTTTCCTTCCCTCCAACCTTGCTAGCCATAATAAGAAAGCCACAATTGTTTTTGCAAACTACCCTTACTCTATTCAGATCATTCTTCACAAACTTCAACTTTTTTCCATTTAATACACTATGCTCCATTAGTGCATTTTTAAACTATTTTAATGAACAAAACTCCATTCCAATTCGAATTTGAAGTTCTTGTTCATATCATCTTGTCTATACTTTTGAAACTTGCCCCTTTTGAACCTCACATCCTCATCACTTTCTACATCTGAATCCAATTCATCACTATTGTATTCTTCATTGATGTCATGCTCTCCAACTTCTTCATTCATTATAAATGAACCTTCCCCAACATTGCCTCTTCTACTCACACGTTTCTTCTTTTCTTTCATTCTATTCCACCTATCCAAAACTGGATTAATGTTTCTACGAACTTGGTCCACCCTATCATTCTTAACACCAAACCCATCATCATCATTTGCTATTATTTCCTCTTCATTGTCATCCAGCCATGTTGCAGCTGAAACTTCTACTTCCCCCTCAACCACATTCCCCCCTTCCTCTTCTTCATGAAGATAATCTTGTTCCTCACCACAATCACACTCTTCCTCTTCCTCACCCATTTCAACCTTTTCTACATGCACATTAACATGTGAACCTTGTTGCTCAACACATTCACCCTCTGAATGATATTCCTCAGCATCATCACCCACTTCTAGACCCATTCCACCCTCTTCTACAATCTCAGGCACTTCTTCCTGATGTAAATTAACCTCTTCGTCACCCACTTTGGAAACCACTTCCTCCATCTCCTCTACGTGTCCTTCATGTGCCTCTTCATCACAAGTAAGAAACTGAACTTCCAGTGCCTCACTATGAACCTGTTGAACATAGATTTCTAGCTCTTCCTTATTCTCCTCTGCATAGGTAGCCAAGTACAGTGCTTCCTTGTCATCACTCGGTATTCTGAGATTATTCATGAGCTTTTGTTTCGACCCCTTCCACCATAGCTTGAAGTCTGCATCATACTTAAATTCTTTAACTATTCCAACTGCTTCAAAATACGACCAACGATCCGAATCAACTCCTTTCATCACGTGTATCTCTCCTCCAACATACTGTAACCCCTTATTATTAACAAAGTTGCCCATGTGATGCAAAGAGACGTCGAAAACCATTTCTAGACCTACATTCAGACATCAATATTTTACGCCCAAATTGGACCAATCATAAGCGAAAAACAAAAACAATAACTTACCTTGATTGTTTTTGCCTGTCTTTCACACCCAACATTTCTTTCACGACCACAGCAACAAACACCACAACGTCCACCTTGATAGAATGACTCCAGTACAATGTTTCGAGTACAATGGTTGGAATACAATGGTTGGAGTAAACCTAGTTTTCCCTAATTGAAAAAAAGTAAGTTATGAACCCTAATTGCTAATCTCATTTCATAAACCTCACGTGCCAATGACTTAATCTCATACCTGGCATCAGACGTGGGTTGGCCTTAAGCCACGTCAAACAAAAACTATCATCATCCAAAATTAAGGACTATTTATAACAGTTTCAAAACTACGAGGACTAAAATGAACAAAACTTTCGAATATGGACTAAACCCAAAATTGCGTGATAGTTAAGGGACTAAAAACATATTTAAACCTAGATAATATATGTCTACCGATACATTTTTGAGTGTGGTAAAAATTATAGAGCAAAAGCAGGTAAATTGTGGTTCAAGACCATAAAAAACTAAATGCATTGATCTTTCTTCATTGATCTTTCTCATTGTTCTGTGAGTAATAAGCCTTCAAAACTTTTGGAAGATAGAATGGAAACATGAACCCAAAGAGATTGAAAGACCAGAAAGCCATGTTAGTCATTGCAAGTGCTCTCCCAACAGTAACCCTCCAAGCAGATCCACTGTGCTCCTGATTCATCTTGTACACCTCACTCCTAACCCAATCCACAATGCTGAAAATCCTCCTTGAATTGTAGAAGGCAGGAACAAGGGCTCTAATTGGAGCAGAGAATTTTTGTGAAGATGCCACTCCTTCCATGAAAACTTGGCTGGCCAAGAGAAAAACATGGGGTGTTGCTGCTTTGATCCGTTCTTTGTCACCCTCAAAAACACCCTCTAATATATTGGCTATTGGAGTGAAAAGGCCAATGGTGGCACCTGTGAGGGCATAAAGTTGAAGGAGCTTGCTTTGGGAGTTGAAAACTTGAGGATCTTTTGAAGGGTTAAGAGAGGGAAAAGCCACCTTGGCTATGAAGTACATGTAAAATAGGGAGAAGAACACAAAGGCAAAGTCTTCATGGCTCACATTGCCACTGGAAGACAAGATAATAACCACGGCAGGGGAATTGAGCTGAGTGAATGACAGAAAACCCACTTTGTTTTGTGGGGTGGATTTGTTAAAAGTTTTGGGTGCTAGGTCTTCTTCTTCTTTGTAATCAATTTCCTTTTCTTTTGGGAGGTTGATGTCAGAGGCAGTTGAACTAACACCCCCTGACATGTTTGTGCAATGAGAATGTCCTTTTAATGAATTGAAGGACTGATGTTTGGGTGACTTTGTTTCTCTTTTGTTGTCTTCAGACGAAAACGAAAACTCGGCTTTTTGTTATGGAGAAACTGATCGGTTTTGTTGAATTGTGATTTCGTTTTGTGGTAGTAAATGCATAGAAAGAAAGAAAGTAAATGGGGTTCGGGGAATTTATCGATCGGAAAGAAAGGTACGAGAAATATGGAAAGTGGAAGAAAAGTTTGATGAAGTTAGTTGACAAATGGCAGGTTCCTGCCTCAAGTTGAAACACCTGTTTTGTTAGTTCTAAGCTGTGAAATGTGATAATGCTTTCTCTAAATCCTATCATTTATTAAAATTGCACTTTTTTTCTTAAAATTAAACGCATTTTATGTTATGATACTTTTTAAATTATTTTAACTTTAATTCATTTTTTATATGGTTACTTTTATTTTATGATAACAATATTTTTACTGGTTGAGGCATAGGCATCCATCGTAATCCAGATTCAAAAAAATATTTCATCAGCTAGTGACGTCGTCAGAACTTATTTAGCCTGATTATCACGACAACAATGGATCCAAAAAGTAAAAGTAAACATGTACGGAAAGAAAAGAAGTTTATTAAAAAAAATGGTAACTATAACAACTAAAAAAGAAAAAAAAAAGAACTAAGTAGCCTATATATCCCATATGAAATCTTTTAGGAGGAAAAGGGCGGAAGAAAAAAGAAATCAGGCAAAACCTGCTTTCAACATTGTGGCAGAAGACCATCCGATAAAACTTGGACGTCTGATAACAAACTAATTGGCAACAAAATCAAACTCTGTATATCTGTACAACTAAACTAATCCAATTTATTCTTTCACATCAAGTATTTGTTTTCCGTTTGGGAACATACTTTATCTTGGTTCCCTTTGCAGACTTCATCAATCCGGGTTTGGCAATTTGGTATCTGCTATAGAATCCTGCGTTTCTTCGGACGATGAAGATTCCGAGTCAGAGCTAATATGCAATACCACATGATCTGATGCCAGAGCTTCTTCCCATCCTGCATGAAAATAGTTTTTGATTTGGGAAAATAGATTAAAGACCCAACCCAGCATTTGATCACACCACACTGAATGGAAAAAACATGACAAATGGATAGTGACAAAGCTTACTTCTTGCAAGGAAAGCTTTTGCTTCCTGGATGAAGGACTGGAATCTTCTAATATCCGCTGTTCTCTCTGTACTACCCATGCTTACTTCTGTCTCGTCACTTTGAACTGGAACTTGATCTTCAGTTTCATGCTGGCTGACAGGATCAGTATTCATTGGCTTATCCCAAGAACTATTCTCCTTACCCACATTCTCAACCATAGAATCCTTTTGAGAAGCCACCATATTACCCTCTGATTGTTTGCAATTGTCAATATTAACAGGTATAGATCCTATCAAAATTTGGTTCTTAAGTTGGTCCGGTTTTTTCTCTTGTGTGGTTTTTAAAACCACCTTGTCAATTTCCTCTTCAGACTTTGGACTCCATACTTCACTACCACGACCAATAGCTGATGCCTTGTTATCATTGTTGGCTTCATGTTTCTGATTGACTTCAAGGTTTGGAAGAGGAGAAATCTGGTCTGTATGCAAGTCATTAGCTTCAGACCATCTCTCAAGATTCTGACCAGCGATAGTATCATACTCTGAACGAGTATCCTCATTTATTTCCTTATTGGTGTCAATATATTGGGGAGGTACAGGTGAAGCTACGTTATCTGAAAATGCATTCGGATTATGAGCTTCATGTTTCTGATTGACTTCAAGGTTTGGAAGAGGAGAAATCTGGTCTGTATGCAAGTCATCAGCTTCAGACCATCTCTCAAGATTCTGATCAGCGATAGTATCATACTCCGAACGAGTATCCTCATTTATTTCCTTATTGGTGTCAATATATTGGGGAGGTACAGGTGAAGCTACGTTGTCTGAAAATGCATTCGGATTATGAGCTTCAAAATTGGGCGTTTCTAAAGATGCTTCGGTCAGTGATAAAGCCTTTACAGCACTCTCAATATAGCCGTTAATTTCTGCCTCAGCTTTGTGTCTTTGTTCCCTAGCTTTCTGCTCTTTTTGTCTAAGCTTCTTCTGGCGTTTCCTCTCCAAAATCTCAGCTTGTCTATAAAACTAGAGTTAGTTATGAAATAGCTAGTCCTACTACCTTTTCATGACCATTTTTCAAGATTATATTTCAGCAGTAATTTTTGCTGAACAGAAGCAGAAAGAATAACTTGAAATGACGTAGTAGATTTTATTTATATAATTTCATGTTGCTGAAATCATATAAACTTCGATGAAATATATGATAAGAAAAATGAAATCATGGAAGAAGCATCATATGTTCATACATCAATTTAAGCACATTCCAGAAGTGCTCAAAAAAATCTTAGTAGGACCGGCAAAAAAAGTATTGCATTATGCACGAGTGTTCACAGATGAACTGACCAAATTTACTAAAACTATGCATGAGAGTTTAGTGCTGGTTGATGATGTCCTTATCTTTCTTAAAATAGTTATTCATGCTGGCTTATCGAGTATATATATATATATATATATATATATATATATATATATATATATCTTGATGTAAGAGCCTATCAACCCAAATAGTGCTATGATCTGCTTTGGGGTTCAGACTTCATTCTAAATGTCATTCAAATCAGATGATTTCTATAGATAAACACTAGACTTCTATTGTACTGCTCTTTACCAGGTACCTTTTCTGAGAAGCTTCTTCCTCCTCCACCAATTGCTTCTGACACCTAAGTGCTTCGGCTTCCTTGGCAGTAAGCCACGCCTTCACCTTAGTGAACAAAAGCTCATACTTCATCATGACAGAAAAAAAAAAGAGCTAATTGGGAAAGTGAGAATATTATTTTTGTTATAAAATACAATTATGGCTTCATATAATGTATTTTACATGCAAGGTATATAAACAAATTCAAATATTATAAAATGACATAAGCTGAACCTCATTAGTCAATTATTAAAAGAGAAAAGACATTTGAATTGCATTGGTTTATTCTGCAGCCCTAGATGCTGAAGGAAACACAGTTTGAAACCAAATGCAAAAGGCATGCTGCATGAAGAGGAGGGGGAGTTATATAACCAAATTTTGAAATTTAAGACACTTACCAATTTTTGTTCTAGCAGGAAACTTGTGAAAGCAATTATGTTTCTCAGTTCAAGACCATTCTTTCCCGCATCTCCAACAAATACATATCTTTGCACTGACTCCGCTGTTCCGCATAAAAATGTTTTTTCACTGGCCTCATCAAGAATATTGAACAACACTTGGGAAGATATAGGAAAGCTGGAAGATTTAGCTTGAAGAATATCCTGCAAAAAATTAAGGTATATTGCATTAATATACCAAAGATACAAATTTAACCACAGTTACCACGAAAAACTAATTAGAAAGTCCGACTGTAGAACTGCTTACCAAAAGGACAGTACCAGCCATCAGATAATGCGGAGGAAATGAATAAAACCTTTGGTTTAGAACAAGAGTTTTCAATGATTTTAAAATTGAAGAACCCGGAACTTCCTAGAAAGCATTGTCAATAAGGAAAAACAAGATATTTAGGTTAATTTATAAAAAATAGGATATGTGAAAACAATCAGAGATGAAGAGATGAGAAACCATAAGGGATGTGCAGCATGCAAAAAAAGTAAGAGATGAAAAGATGAGAAACCATGTGGGATGTTTGCCTCTCTGCATACTGCAGTTTATGAGTTATCCAGCTTGCCTAGGACACACAGGGCCCTTTCAGCTAACACAAGCAAGGGGTATTTGGAGCCTGAAGTCATATATGTTTTGCTTTGATCCTAACTTACTCCTCTTTAAAAATTCAGAATAAAGAAAACAGGTTCAAGATATCTATTTAAGGAAAACTCTTTTTTGGACAGTAGGGCATACAGGACTAATAAAAACAGCTTCGAGCATTTTGCACAAATGGTGCTATATTCTCTCTTCGAATGTGTTAAATGCAGACCTAGATCCGAGACAGGAAGTCACTTATTCTGGCAGTGTAAAGTGACTAATTTCCCAGGAAAACCTTTATAAGTTACGGGGAGCATTGCGTTCCTAGTTTCTTATCCAGAGGCAGACGTGATTCACTACAATGCTTTTGGTAAAAAGTAAGACACAAATTTTATGAACTTTACATGTTATATGCTTCCCTAACTGGATATGCATCATTTAAGGGAGTTCATCAGTCCCCGTTTCCATACAAAATTGAGCTATGTATATGCCTTCTCTTAGGTGTTCTGCTCATGGCTTGCAATTTAAGCTTTTCATCATCCTCCCCCTCCTTATATACTTTTTTCTTTTTTATACGTAATAAAATTTCTTTTAAAATAAAAATTATTTCTACACAAAACAAAAGAATGAAGAAGTTGTAAAACTCCTAATCACATTTGACATTAACAAGGCATCAAAAATTTTGAATTCCACGGTGAGGGATGTTGTGAGTCAAACAGACATAACTACAAATAGTATATTTATGGCAACATGCATGCAAGGTGATTTAATTTAACATTAAAATAAATAACTTATATATGAAGCAACAATATTTTACCTCCAGCACCACATTTTCCAATGATATAACTTCCTTTGCCTCTTCTGCAGAGAGCTATTCAAACCACGAATAAAAATAAAAACATTAAAACAAGTTGTCCTATTTATATATGTTGATTCACAATAATGAAATATCACCTTATCCCAATATGCTTCTAAAAGATCCCTATTTTTTGTAAATTCCTGAAATATGTAAACAGCATGGGAAAACTTTAGGAAAAGAAACAAACAAGCTTATATCTAGAAGAAAATATATAAGGGTAAATGTGTGCACAGAGAACTAATATGTTATAATTATTTGTTAGATCTTAAAAAAAATACCTTATCAGGATTTTTCTTCCTATGATCTACACGAATATGTCTTCTATAGTTCATGGGGGAGCAAAACTCTCGAGTACATTTGTCACACTTATGCAACTGAACGTTCAGAGGAGAGAGCAAAGGCCAACCTGGAAATGATGTCAAATGAGTGAGAAGTGATATCCAATAAAGTTTTCTTTTGGATAAATTTCTCTATACATACTTATAGGACAAGAAAATAACAAGGTAAATGGATTGAGTATTAGGACAAGCTAAATAAAAAGAGTTTCTATTAAAGTAGAGTACATAAGTTGATTTTAGTTTATGTGAGCTTAATTGATTTTATCTTATTTTCTCCAATAAGCTACAATGAAAAAGTTTATCTAATTAGGACCTAAGTAGCTTTACAAAATTAAATGTGCCTGTCATGACAAGCCCAAATTACCTATGCTATATATATCACACGATTTGGTTTCCTTTTAATTTTTCTATTTCAAGCTTTCTATACATATCACATCATTACTACATGCTTTAATTCATTTACATCCAATGTATAAAAACTATTATCACCTAAATGCTCTTGAAAAGGAACCTCCAAAGATATGAACACTCAAACTTGAAAAAGAATTGTTAACACCTTGTGAATCTAAAGCATAGAGTAAATGAAGCAAATGATCAGAGTTGCCATCGGGTGTGGGAAAATGAAGGGAAGATTCTCCGCCAATCGTATCTTTCTCTTCTGTATTCATGACATCGGCCGAGCTAGAAGCTTTAAGTTTTGCAAGTGGAAATCTATTCACTTGAAATGTTTATCAAACAATTTCCCTAGACTACTACCTGCACAAAGTATAAAGAAATACATGTAAATAGATTGAACATGATATCACGAGGAAAGAACGTGAAAAAAATGCTCATTTGATGAAATTGAAATTTTAATAACAAACTTAATGTTGCCAAACATGCTTTAAGAGGGAAAGAAAGAGAAAACACTTCTGATTATTCAAAGCTGGGTTTTTCCCATATTGTTTACCCAAAAAAAATGACACAATCCTGCAAATTGATAGATCAATGCTAGAGTAAGAACAAGATTGCACTAACTAAATGCCATATAAAAATTAAAGACTGAATCTAACCACAACCTATATCAACACCGCAAGACCCGCTGTTTCTTTTCTTGTGCCTTTTTCTTTTTCTAAATAAAATAAAGGACAGAGCAAAACGGCCTAGACTGAGATTCCTCTTCATTGAAGGATACAACCAATAGCATCAACCTCAAGAACTAACCAACGTTTAACTTAACCAAACGCATGCATTGACGACCTTTCACACTGACATTACTTACAAAAGCACATTAACAAATTTACCAAACTAGTTCACAAATTGAAGGCTATTGTTCATTCAAGACTACCAAAACAATGAATCTTTCCGGGAAATTCAAGAAATGGAATACTGAGAACGAAAATAAATTGCAAGGGAGTCAAAGAAAAAGTTGAGTGGAGTGAAACTGAATCACGTACTGACGGAAATGAGGAGGCAGAGAGAGTTCCGACACGGAGGACAGGCGCGAGGATCGGTGAAGCGGCGCCGAAGGGAATACAGTGTGTTTTGGCGGGAAGTAAATCGGCGAGAAAATTGTTGGAAAGAAAGTTGAGAGTGTTAAGTGTAAAAAGAAAAATCAAACAGATATTATAGAGTTTCGGAATTCGAACGCTGAGTTGAGTTGTAAAATTACTATGCATAGCTGGCTTGCCTTATCAAGAGAAAATTTCATTTTTTTTAATTCTATAAGTAATTTCTTGTATATAAATATAGTCTTTATTTGAAGAGAAAATTCTGTTTATATAAAAAATAAAACTGTATGAAAATTGATCTATAGTTGACTTTTACGTTTTCATAGTTATTTTGTGTTTTTTTTTATGAAATAGAAATACTCTTATTTTTATTTAAATTTAAGCTTTGCTTGGAATAAGTTTTGGTATGATTTTCAGATTCTTCCAGATAATACTTGTTACGTGGAAGTGAGAAAAAATAAATAACATTAAGGTTAGGCAAAAAGAAATCTAATTTAGAAGTAAAGTTTTGAAATCAACAAGTCTAAGTGAGTTGACTCCTGTCTTATTCTCCTTTGAAAGATCTTTCAACAACTTACCATAAAAGAAGATTTCATTGGAAGACATAGTATTATCAATTAAACATGAATGAGTAATGTTACGATGAAGATGATTTTTTTTTTAAAAGAAAAAATAATTTCTAGTTAAATTTGATTGGGATTCGTTGGAAGTCATAATCTTGCTTATTTTTTTTCAAATTTGGTTTTGTGAAGACTAAGATAAAGTTGGCAATCTAGTACTATTATTAGTTAGTTAGATAATTAAGACGCTGATAATTACACTTAATCACATTTCGTTTAGTTATTTCTTTTAAGAGATATATAAAGCAATTAATACCTAATCATTCTTAAAGAATACAAGCATTTCTTTCTAATCATGCAAAAAAATTGATATTTTTTATTTTTTATTTTTCATCATATATTAGAAGAATAAATCTTTCACATTATCGTGTTAGGAAACTTTTCGAATTAATTAGAATTTTTCTTACTGAGATTAGAAATATGTTAAGGAATTTATAATAATTATGTTAAAAGCTAAACTTCTCTAACAGAACTTAAAAATTAGAATATTAAAATTGATATTTGTTTTAAAATAATAAAATTGAATATTTAACTTTAAAATAATTCAATAATATAAATAGAATTTTTTAAGCTCGTCTCATTACTTAAAACACAAACAATCTTTCTAAAACTCTTTCTCCTACTTTTCTCTCACTTCTTTCTAAGATATTTGACTTCCTGATCATTTATTTGATGATCAGGAAGTTCCTAGGAGATCACCACTGAGTAATCTTCATTCCTATCCGATCAGATTTTGTTATAGAACAAATAAGTTTCCACTCTTTTTTCCTTTTCATTCTTAGCTTGAGATCATGCATAGTGATCTCTTGTCGCATGTGTTTTATGATCTCTTTTCCTAGTACCTTATTGATCATAGGTTCTAAGACTCTTTCTTATCTCTTTTCTATGTTTTGTAGGCGTTTTAAGAATTCCTTGAGTTAGAAGCAAGGTTGGTGAGATGTTTAGAGCTATAGTAATTTCTCTTAAGGTAGGGAAAGCTAGTTCTTGTTCTTTGTAAATTGTATAAAGTATGAATTGATAGTGCTTATGATGTATAGTTTGTAGATATTGGATGTTTATGATTGAAATGCTAGTAATGTGAATTGTTGTTGAGTATGTGAATTTCATTACATGATGATTGTTGGTGCTAAATGATTATGTGTGAAACTCTAATTGTATGATGAATTGTGTGGTTGCGATGTTTGGTGGTGTTGAATTTGGTTTAATGTAGAAGAGAATTGAACTAGGTTGAGTTGTAATTGTTATTGGTCAAAATAAGGAATTTTGGTGTGTGATTTTTGAGTTGAGGGTTAAAAAGAGGAAATGAAGTCTTAGAATCTATTTGGATGTGATTTGAGGGTTGTTAGAGTTGTTAAGTGGTTGAAATTGTTTTAGAAAAGAGGTAGTAGTCTTTTTGGTGGTGGTTTAGTTGGTTTTAAGAGTATTTTTGGGGGTTTGAACTAGTGAAATTTTGAATTAAAAGTTCTGTATCAAAATGGAAGTTTTGGAGAGTATTGATAAGTCATTTCTAACTTATTAGAGGCCATAAGTTGATAAAAAAATGAGCTAGAACTTGTAGAATTGAATTTTAGTCTCTAATCTGAGAGTTTAGTTATTTTTGAGTTGATATCTGGTTGTAAACAATTGATTATTAGTTTAAGATACATTATACAATTTTTTTTAGGTCTAAAATAGTTTATAATCCAATCTAGAAGTATTAGAAGTTGGTAAAAATAATTATAATAGGTCAATGGTGGTTTAGGGGTGCTAATTATGCAGTTTTGGTGTTGTAGAATTACGTAGTCAGGCTAGGCAAGCAAAGTAGACTCGATGGGCGAGTTTAGGGGAGTCTTGAAAGTGAAGTCCAAAGGTTGAGCGAGTCAGCTCGCTCTGCTTGGGGAGCTTGTTGTTTTGCCCACTAGATGAGTGGAGAAGTTCGTTGAGTGAGTATTTGGGGTTTCTGGAAGAAAGTTGCAAGGCTAAGCTAGCCAGCTCGCTTAGCTTAGGAGGCTTGTTGTTTTGCCTCTGGTTGGGCAAGCATAGTCTGTTCGCTTAGGTGTTTTTGAATCCTTTCTTTTATGTGTATGATTTTAAGAGTTAGAATGATTTGTTGTGTGTTTTTTGATAATGATTGGAATACATGTTTGAATGGAATGAGAAATGAGATGTGTAAGAGTCCTAAAGAGGATTCTCAATTATTGTATCAAAGTGTTGTTGGTATGAATGTAGGGAGCTAAGTCTTAGGGGGTATCCTAAAACTCTAATGATCATTCATTCTCAAGTAGAAAGGTTTGATACATGTGATGAGAGTAGCAGGAGATCTTAATGTTGGTGCTTTCAGTATGGCTTAAGACACGGTACATATTAACCTTGTGAATGTATTAGGATGAAACTCATTGACAATGGCTTTGCAAAATAGTAACGACCACCACAAATGCACAACCCGCCATAGCTCGACATTTATACTAAATTTGGATAGTCCAATCTAGGTCTTGACATGTTTAGGATGCTTGAATTGCTTTATATGAAATGTGATTCATGTGTAAGATGTTATAGTATAATATGATTTGTTTTGTATCATTAGCTTACTAGTTTTTTTGTATGTCTTGTTGGTATGTTCTTGTACGTGATTGTCCTGGCCATGATCATTTGGTGAGTGTAAGCAGAGGGTGATGAGGTGATCATGGAGCAGGCCATAAGAAGTGGAGGCGGCCTAGAAGCTTAGTAGTTTTTGTGATAAATCTTTAGTAACCTTGTAAGTGTGGTAGAGTGAAACTCATTGACAATTACTCTATAGATAAGTAAAGGTCACCACAACATGACTTACCATAGCTCGACATTCATACTTTTAATCCAGATGGTCAGGTCTAAGTCCATGGTATCCTTAGGATGTTTATTTAATGGTATGCTTAGGATGTTTGTTAACTTTGTATGAAATATATTGTATGATGAATTCTGATATTATGTATTTTTTCTTTTAACATTAACTTACCTTTTGTGTGTTTGTTTTGTTGTGTATGTTTGGTTTCTTTTGCAATGACTACTTTGTTGGTGTGAGTAGAGGGAAAAGACATATCCATGGAGCAAGCCTTGAGAAGTGATGGAGCTAATGTATAGTTTGATTAGATTATATAGTTTGTATAGTTTATTTGAAAGACCTTGTGTAAATAACCCTTTTATTTACTTTAAAGTCATATATAATATTAGACTTTGTAGTTTTATAATAGTTTTGAGATAACTCTACAAATATCTATTATATATTCCTTAAGTTAAATTATTTATTATATTGATATTGTAACAGTCCTTAATAATGTTTATATTATTTTAACAAGATGTTACAATGAATGTCATAATAAATATTAATAATTAAAAATAATAAACATGTTTAATTTTAAAACATTACTAAGATAATTTTACAACATTTAAAATCAAAACTTGTCAGAACCAGTAAAATCCACGCACGTATCGTTTTAGTGGAGTTCACGTGTCAAAAGGGAGGCTCAACACTCAAATGACGGACGCCAGGTGTCAAGCGAAGAGGATCCGGAAATCAGATAGTGGAATGCAGGTGTCGGCAGATGAGTGGACGTTCGTTTGGACGAGGGAAGCAAAACTTGCATTTTCAGAAAATCTACTTCATCTCTGCATGCACCCTCTTTTCAGATTTCTGAAGAAATCTCATTCTCTCCTCCTTTTCTCTACATCCTCTTCATCTTCTCTCTAAGAACGCACTCTTTTTCCCTTCTCTGATCTCCATTCAGCCATCGTAGAAGCACTTCCGGCGTCAAGAGCTTCCAGATATACCGTTCGGTTTGTGAAGCTGAACTGGTAAGTTTTTCTTTTCACCCAGTCGTTCGTTTCCTAAACATGCAAACCCAGTTCTGGGTTCCTATGTTGATCATCATTCTCAAAATGAGTGGTTATGATAGTGTTGGGTTGTCACTTGGTGTAGTTGGAATTGTCGAGCGTTGACGGTAGGGAAATCGGTAGTAGTGAAATTGTATTTTGCCTCTGGGAACGTTCGTTCACGCTCAGAGGTAAAGAAAGCTTATTTAATTTAATTTGTATGTTTACTGTTCTGCATGAACGTTCGTTGAGTTGCTAAATTAAAGTGAAGCATGATTGTTGAGATATTTGACTATATGAAATATGATGGTTGCTATGTTCTGATGTATGAAGTATATGAAATTTACTATGATATGAATGTATGAAATTGTGAAGTTATATGTTGAGAAATGAGTTTGAATATAAATGATTCTGGTATGAAATTTCCACTATGAAAGTGTACGTTCGGTACTGAACGGTCCTTGACCGTTCGGTGTTTCTAGTAAACTTGGTTGAAATTGGATTCTTTCATTTGGGAAGAATTCTAGTTGAGGACGAGCGTCTTCGTTTCGAGGAACTGTGCATGATCGTTCGGCCAAGCATAGTTGGTTCTTGACGTTCGGTTATAAACTTAAGTATATATATATATATATATATATATATATATATATATATATATATATATATATGTGTGTGTGTGTGTGTGTGTGTGTGTGTGTATTTGTATA